GGGGGGGGGGGGGGGGTTTGCTTGCTTAGCACTGCATAAATGTTCCACCTCCTCATCTAATTAATGCAGAAAAAATGCATGGACTTAAATGGGAAGGATAGGCAGTCACATTCGTAATCATGTCAATCCGATGCATACAACTCTATTTGCATATCGAGAATACATTTAGATACAAGACAAAGGACAAGACAAAAATACATTTAGATACAAGACAACAGATAAGAGGAAAAATGGCAGGTCATGTACCTGATATGCGCAATGAAGTCCACTCTTGTAACTTCCAGCTCTTTTAGACTCACGTTGTAACATAAGACGTGTTTTAACCATGTCAATAGGCGTTGTCATGAGAGTACTCACCACACCCGCTACTGTACTTGAGCTTCACAAGCATGCACCACATGGTAAATCCTCAGATGTAAAGTATGAGAGACAACTAAAAATTATTTTGTACTCAAATTTAAACGGTACGTATACTCACAGTAGAAATAAAAAAAATAATAAAACATTTGCCATCTGGTAAAATTGCACGAGACGGCAATCTAAAAACCAAAGCAAAGTTTTGGGTTTACCTATAGACAACGAAACAAGCCAACGAGTAAAAATAAACAAATTTATTTAATAGTTTTTTAAATGCATTTTTTTCACTGAAAAATCCTTCTTGAGTCAGCTATTTTTGGACAAAAGAACATTAAACTTCCGGGGAAAGCTTTCTTGATACTTAAAGGAGGGTCCTAAGTCCCAGAACTGATTCAGGTCCTTTAGGTTTCAATTCAACTTAAGAAATCCTTTGGGGTATCTAGAAAATATTAGTTATTTTAATAAACCTTCTTCATATTCCAACTTCTATATAACTAAATTGTACTTTCAACTTTATAAACCACGTGCAATCGAATCGCTTTTTCGAGAAATACGAGACTAATGGAGTGATTCAAAGGGTTCTCGATGTCTTACACACTGTTTTCTTATCCAGACGGACTCTCCCGTCTTTGTCTTCGTCAGGCCCTTTATGCACGTAATTAAAACTAGTTTTACTAAATAAACGGACCGATAGGTTTGGGATCATATTCATTTCATGGCCTCCCTCAAGGCTTCCTCCTACAGAAACATCCAATTTCACTTCGTCTTTGTTCCTGGCTGGTTAGAGTGTATTTACTTTTCTCAAAACTCCAAATACTTGTTCAAGGACGGAGTCGTTGTCCTGTTAACCATTTTATAAATCTTTATGCTAATATAACAGTAAATTACCTAAAAGCAGCACCTTCTCCATTAGGGAGTATTTTATATTAAATGAGTTTTAAGGCTCAAAGGAAATAGGAAGTGAAATAGATAGAAAGAACAATGGTAGAGATAGTTCATAGTTTCTTACATGAGATGCAAAGGAAATCCTTCTTCTAAGGGTGTCCACTTTACTAAAACCTGCAAAATACATAAAAGTTAAAACCTTAAGAATTTTTTTAAAAGAACATTTGTAGAAATAAGCTTGCAGAACTACAACATATACGTACGGATCAGAAATCAGAACCGGTAGAATTACTTTATGCGTATGCAAATTAAAAAGAACATGCTTAGACATAGACCTGCTTAGCTTCATCATATGTTGCCAGCTGAGATGCTGTCAAAGCACCTGCTCTGGCCATAGCAGGGCCAACTCCCTTCCAAAGAGCTTTTAGTCCCTCCTCGGAAATGATTTTGGACATTTCTTTGATTGGCCCTCTGGTTGAGTTCGGATTCATTTGTAATCGCACCTGCCAACGATATATAATCTTAAGATCGGGCTATAATTGAAAAGTAACGAAAGACAATATCCTTTATCACCTTGAGAACTTCAACTGGATTGGTGAGAGCAGTTGCAACCGCACCAGAAATTGCTCCAGATCCAATCTTAACAAAGATATTAGTAGACCCGAAAACCAAATCAGAAGCATACTTTGACGGTTCATATAAACCTAAGCGGAGACCTCCATATAGAACCGATCTTGTCAGAGCTGGTGATAACCCCAAATACAAAGACCTTGGCCCTTCATTATTCAACAGTTGCACGAACAGTTGTCCCTATTTACATCCTCGATTAACGTTTTATAGAACAAGAAAGTTCAAGGAAACAGAATTGGAATCCTTATAAGAAAAACGTGAATACCATTCCAATTAGAGGCCCCCTCTGCCCCACAAGTTGCATTTGCAACCTAACTTTAAGCACATCTGCATTCAAGCTGGACAAAAATTAAGATCACTGTTTGTTGGCTATAGGATCAATTTCTTCTCTCTCTCTCTCTCTCTCTTCTGAAAATTAATGATCATTTGTGTTAATTCTAAATGATTTGGATACACAAAAGGTTTGCACCAACAAAATCCGCCAAAAAAACAGCCAATTCATTCTAGTTCAGGATTTCTCTTACTCATTCCTTCCTGATGGTAGCATGAACTACACGTTATTAGATCAATTCAGCCATCATCCCAAATAATACGAGGAATAAACTATAAAACAGTAAAACCACAGAAATAATACAAATGTAATTTCACACAGTTAACCAAGAAAAAAAGTTCATGATAAAAGTTTCATAAAACCAACACATTCACGAACTCTTAAGGAAACAAAACGGTTGCATCAGATTCAATTCGAGATCCACCAAAACCTAGCAACTTGAAAGAATGAAACACACACACACTTACTAGCCCAAACACCCACAAAACACCTATCGCGGACATCTTGCTCTAGATTTCAAGCCCCACAAAAACAGAAACTCAAACGCATAATTAAAAATTTTACAGGAAAAAAAGAACAGAAAGAGAGAGAGAGAGAGAGAACCTAAAGGATGAGTAACGGCGGTGGCGATCGCGACGGAAAACCCACTGGTTCCAAAATGATAACCAACATCAGACGGAGAAACGGCCCAATTCCGCTTCTCATTGCGCGCCAAAACTCCTGAATACAATTAGAGAAACAAACATCACTCCAAATTTCTCGGAAATCAACAAAACAGCAGCTCGCTCAGCTATAATAAACAAAAACATAAGCAGAATTTTGCGGGTCAATAGTGGGAAGGGGAATCGAGAAATACGCCATTGTTTTTCTCCTCATCCAGATAAAGAATGATTCAAATGGATCAGTGCTAATAAGAGATGGAAGAAACTGCAGAGAACCTGAAATGGCGGATTCTTGGGAAGAAGATTCGTCAACCATATTCCCTTCCTTTTTTCTTCCCTATTGAGAAATCGTAAGATGCCCCGACATTTATATAGGGGACGGGTTGCCTCTATCAACCGTTTCAGCCTCTGTAATTTCTTTTACTAGACAAAATAAAATATAATTTATAATGGTAATTTCTTTCTTTCTTTCTTTTTTTTTTTAAGTTCAACCACTTAATTATTTATCTAACTCAATGAGAAGCTTTAAATCAAGATGTTATCGGCTTTTTTGTTCGTGCTCTCAATCGAATTGAGGGACGTCCAATAAAATTGGAATGATACAGAGAAATTTGAAGAGGATATCAAGAAACTCGAGAAATGGTATCAAAGACCGACACCAAACAGGATGCTAATGAGGACGCTGGGCCCGAGGGACGATGGATCGTGAGATCCTACATTAATTGAAGAGGGGATCGAAGCACTTCCTTACAAGGATGTGGAAACCTCTCCCTATTAGACATCATTTTAAAATTGTAAGACTAACAATGATACATAATGGATTAAAACGGACAATGTCTGCTTGTGGTAAACTTAGACGGTTACAAATGATATCAGAGCTTGCGGGTAAGATTAAAAAAAAATATATATATATATATATATATATATATATATATATATATATATATACTTCAATAAAAAAAATATTGTTGAAATTATCAAAATATATTTCAATTCATGTGATAAATTTTAGGTGGATTACAATTTAGAGTTATTATATTTCATTGATGTATTTTAAGATGACCATTGAGTATGAATGTTACAACTTTTGAAGCAATAAAAAGCATGTATGTCGTATTTGTAAGGAGACATGTAAAATAGTGTAAAAGATACTCTTTTTTAGCCCATGGATAAGCTTGTTTGCCATTCTATATATATATATATTTTATAATTAAAATCAATATTTAAATTTAATAAAATTGAAAGTTTGTAGTAAAAAAATGATATAATTAAACGAGTCATTCTAAAAAAAATCGACCGATGAAGACCGACCAGACCGGGTTAAGTAAACTCACATGGGGAACCGAACCGATCGGTTCGGATGGTTGATTAAAAATAAGATCGGAAATCGAGTCAATTCTTCGTTCGCAAAAAAGACCAGAAGCTTCTCTCTCAGAGTCGCAGAGTCGCTGATAGGGTTTTTGGTGGGTCTGCCATTGTTGCTTCTTCTTTGAGCTAGCGCTATGCCTCGGTTCGTTCTTCCATTTCCATTTGATGCTAAGTCTCAGAGTTTCATCCCTCAATCAAATTTACTTCTCTCTCTATTTTTCTCTACAGTTTATGATTTGATCTTCTCGTTTGCGCGCAGGTATTATTGTGACTATTGTGATACATATCTGACACATGATTCTGTAAGTCATCTTCTTACGTTCATATGAAAATGTGATTTCATTTTCGTTTGATCATTGTCCACTTTTTTTTTTTTTTTTTTTTTTTTTTTTTTTTTTTTTTTTTTTTTTTTTTTTTTTTTTTTTT